TTTACAGAAGCAGACTGCCCCATCTTTCTTCCAAGGAAAGGCTAATGGATTCAAATCACTGACCTTTTAGTTAGCAGCCAAATGCCTTAACCACTACTAGTTAGCTTCTATTAGGTGGAAGTAAAATTTTGTTCATGTTTTGATTTGAAAGTTATATATAGTTAAAAGAGATGTAGATGAATGCCAAGTTGTCGTGGGGTGGACTATGGTGGTTTTACATGATATCAATTTAGCTCAACCAGAAATTAAATTTTCCAGAATTCTCCTCCCTGTTTTATACTGGATGAAAGTTAGCCCATCAAAGAAATTTGCCTGAGATTTTGAAGGCAGAAGTGAAGCAGCGGCTATTATACTTTGAAGGGGGCATTAGACACTTTGACAGGTAGCACACATCTGCTGGCTCACTTGACTTGGTGCCATAGCTGTGATCGCAGTTCCTAAAGCTCTCTCCAGGTCTCTTCCTCCAGGTTCACCAAGCCGTCTACCAAGTACACGTGTAGTGCCATGACAAAGGGCACTAGGTCCTTCTCCAAGTCACCTACATCATCAGGGTTGGTAAATGAAAGGTGTGGGTTCTACTTTTCCTCGTGTTTCCAGTTCTTCCACTTCATTTCCAGCTTTTCTTCTTGACTTTTGGCCCACACCAGTCACAGAGGCAACATAACTCTGTCAAATTCTTCACTACATCCCACAATGACATAAGGACTAATCCCTGGAACAAATCCTTTGTTTTCGATCAGTCATACTGTTGTTGTGATCAAATCCTGATCTATCAATCTTTCTATCTACCTACCTATCTCTCTATTAATCCATCCATCCATCTACCTATCTCATATCCTAAACATTGACCAAGATTGTCACCAAGGAGGGAATGGCACACCATGGAAAGCACTAGCATTCACTTTCTACCAAATCTATAGACAGGACATCTTCTATAGACAGGCTTAAGCTTTGGTACTTTGTTCCAAATACTTTATTATTGACCACCTTTCTGAGGGTCAGTGCTTAACAGTCAATTCCTTCCCTACCCCCATTCTTTATATAACAACCTTCTCCAATCAGAGCTTAGAACCAAACATCAACTATTTCCTGAGATTATATATTACATATTTGGACAAAGACCTCAACCATAACATATTGTGTCTTATTCACAACAGCTGTCCCCAAATATGGCGAAAAAGCTTTATTGTGTGATTTCTATTCCATTTGGCTTGTCACACTTCTTACCTTCTAGACTAGTTAGAGTAATTCATTAGCATTCCATCTTGGTCAGCTTCTGGAGTATGATTCAGGTCCTAATTCTTTACTGAATATATGTGTGTGTGTGTGTGTGTATATATATATATATAATTTATATTTATATTATCATTTAATAATTATATATACTTATATTTTTGTATAATCTTTCATTTTTTCTTGTTTTTGATATTTCATTATCCTTTCAGAAGGTCCTATTTCCCCATTTACTGCCAACACATGATTTCTGGGTTGTGTATATTTCTTCTTTCATGTTTTCCTCTGTCCATGCCATACCCTCCCCCTATCCTGCTCATCCCCAATCCAGAAGTAGCTGGCACAAGCTTTTCCATAAAATGTGAACTCTATATCCTGGCTTATATGCATTGATTAGAAAAGTATTAACTGTTGCAATAGACATGGATAGAGGATTCAGAGCTGCTATTGTCAAATTTAAGGTAACAATGGCTGCTGTATCTTTCTCTGTTCCATGTATGATGGTTTCACTCTATTAAGTAATTGAAATCATTGAACATAAAAGAATGCTTGCTGGATTCTGAGAACAATGTATGTATTTGTCACTCAGATTCTGCTTTCTTAGGAAGACACATTCAACTCTTTCCCAGCTTAGCCCTGAAGCTCTGAGGCACCTAGTGATGCTTAGAAATCTGAGGAGTCTTGTTTATACAGAAATGGCTTGGCTAAGCTGTATTATTTTCCTGAAGTGGTTAACATTCCTTGTGACGAAACAGAGGCTAAGTGACTTAAAGTAGATTAGTAAGAAAGACCTGAAACCCTCTTAGAATTCTTGGTATGTTGGTTGGCAGGATTCCTGTCTGCTCCAGGACAGACTTTCTCTCAAAATCATAAACTTACAAAACCGTAAATCATTTCCATGTAGCTAAAGAACCACCGTATTGATGTTTCTACTTTTTGTTTTCCCTAAAAAGAAAGGGAATAAACCTTAAATACTATCAAAAATGTAACATTTGGACTTCAAAGAAAAAGAAATATCTGGTAAATCATCATGACTGATCATATATCAACCTGACTCCTTAAATATGCCTTAGCACCAAGGGAATTGTTAGTGTGAAGAGTAAAAATGCCATAAGAGAGATTAACTTTTCACATGATTAATACTTTGTATTAAACTAAAGTAATTCAACAGCTTTCAAATAATTACTGTTAATTTAGTCTCCACATTTCTAATAAAAGAAAAAATATTAAATCACTGCTAGTAGAAAATATATTTTAAAAATAAATGCAAAAATATTTCATTTTATCATTTGTAAGGAAATAGTCACAAAGATTTTATATGTATAAAATTGGAAATGCCAGAATTCTTCAACTGTTTTATTCACACTAGGCAAATTTAAGTTTATTGTGTACTTTCTCTATAACCATGTTTCCCAGTGGTTGTTGGGTGCTGGTCAAGTTGATCTCAACTACTAGCAACCCCTTGTGTCAGAGTAGAACTGTCCCATGGGGTTTTCTAGTTTGTAATCTTTGCAGGAGCAGATCACTAGGTCTTTCTCCCACAGAGTTGCTGGGTGGGTTCAACCTATCAACCTTTTGGTTAGCAGCTGAGTGCTTAACCATTGTGCCACCAGGGCTCCTTAAGTCCCCCTAGATATGTATTTAATAAAACACAGAAAATAATCTGGATTCTGTTCCTTCCCTGCCCAGTCCCAATAGGCTGTGGATAGGAACACAGCTGTTGTTGTTGTTGTGTGCCGTCAAGTCGGCCCCAACTCATAGCGACCCCTACTTGAGTTGCCGAGGCAGTATCACTATGGAAGTAGATTGCCCAACCTTCCTTCCAAGGAGTGCCTGGTGGGTTTGAACCACCAGCCTTCTGGTTAGTAGTCAAGTGCCTTAGGCACTATGCTACCAGAGCTCCTAGGAACACAGCTATATATTACCAAATGTTACCATGGGAAAGAAGTCCCCAGATGGTGGAAATGGTTAACACTCTTGGCTGTTATTAACTCAAAATTTGACAGTTCAAGTCTTCCCAGAGATCCTGGGAAGAAAGGCTTGGTAATCTATTTCTGAAAAAATCAGCCATTAAAAACCCTATGGAGTACAGTTCTTTGACTCACATGAGTCTGTGTTGCTTCAACTGAAACTGGGAATAACAGGGAACTTAATAACACTTAATAACTTACAAAGTGGAGTTAAGTTTGCTGCAAAAAGAGGAAGAATTAGGCATTTGCTGCTGCATACTACATAGTTGAAAGTTGCCAAAGTTGCCAATGAGTAAAGGGCCATGGGAGGGCCATCAAAACCCCTGCTGATGAAATAGTCACTAGGAAGATCACTGAAGATCTAATCAATTAATCAGTACCTTAAAAGTCCCTAAGAAGAAAGGGAATAAACCTTAAATAATACCAGAAATATAACATTTGGACTTTTTGGTCACCAAGCCCCAGAGGGTGGTGTGTATACCTGAGGCTTTCTTAAGAGGAATTACATTTGCAGAAGTAGATGAAAGGGTTGGGGAAGGAGAGGGGAGGGTGACTGGGAGATCAGTCCAAGGGCTCTTTTGCTTCCTTGTTAATTCTCTCTGCTTCACACACAACATAGAATATGTTCCCTTCCTCATCTCCCTTTGCTCATATAGGTGCTTTATTTCCAGTTAAGTTATATGTACAACAAATTACGACAACAAATCAACCCATGTTATTGATTGCTAAAGATGCTTGAAGTAGAGTTGAGGAAAATAGAGGGGAAAAAAGACACATCCCAAAATGAATTTCATTTCTGTAATGAAAATAAATTTTTACACAATCAACAGAAACACACCAAGTTTTTATGCGAAAAATATTTTTTTTAAATAAATTTTTGTCCTTTTTTTTTTTGTTACATTCTGATATACAATATGTAACAAGGTTTATGGCACTGTAACCAGAATCAAATAAAAAAAAATTGAACAAAAATATAAGATGGGAAGGAAAATAATTGGTTTTGTTTAATTCCTTGCTATCTTCAAGCTGGCAAATTTGCACTATTTCTCTATTATTATTAGGCTGCCAGCATTAACTTGTTTGCACACTCAAAACACCATATTATTGCACAAGAAGCCAGTGAAGGCATATGGTATAATGGTCAAGTTCCTTGCTATTAAAAATATCTCTTTAACCCAGAGAAGGGGGAAAAAAAATCCAGAGCATGAAACACGCAAAATCAACAGTATCCTTTGTCTCTGTAAAGAATGTGTGAAGGAAGGGTTCTTAGACAACTTAAGCTGCTCTGATCTCTTTGCACCAGTGAGCACTACAGGGCTTGGTTTGGTTGGGATTTTGTTTTCTACTTGGACAGCCCAGGCAGACCCTAGGCCTTCATGATTCACTGTCCTTTCTCCTTACTTTTGGTTCCTTGTCATTGTTTTAAAGTGTAGCATCTTATGTCTATGAGCCTGCACAGACTATTTTGTCATATACTCTACAAATAGCATAAAAGGAAAAGGGGGAAAATGAAGTGTCATTATACTTTTATTGTTGGCTTAAAAAAATGACTTCTTTAGCCTCCCTGCTTTATCAGTTTGTGGGAAGTGAATCTTAGCATCAGTGGCATCAACAATGATGCCATTGGCATCAAAAGGTAAATTCTTCTCACACTTGTTAAAAATAAAAAGTTTCTGAACAAGTTTTTTTTTCCATTCACAAACTTTACCTCATATTAAAAAATAAAATAAAGAAAATCAGCCCTCCTTTCTCTTTGTCTTCTAATGAAGAACAGGAATCCTTCCCTCCTGACTGTTATCACACGACCGTCTCCACACCCATCAGCTTTGGTGTAAGGATTCTTGGTGTCACACCGTTGTTTAGGTCTTCCTCAAACTCCAACAGCTGCCCCATGAAGTTAAGGTTTGGAGAAATAATTGGTCGCTTGCCTTTGACAAACTTATAAGCATCAGTCATGGTCATCCGTGTGTGCTTCATCAAGTAAGCGATGACAATGGTGGCAGAGCGGGATACCCCAGCTTGGCAATGGATGAGGAGTCCCTTCCCACATTGGTGAGCTTCCTCTAGAGAAAGGGAAAAAGGCAGGAGGGGAAGGGAAGGAGGGAATGACATGGTAGGAGAAAGATTTTGTTTAGACCTGACAATGCCCATTTTGTAGAGAAAGAATATATTAAAATGTTTTTTAAAAGCAAATATAATATATCACTTAATTTTGTATGTTTATGTCACGATCTCCACAGTAGTCTAAAAATCAGTATTAGCCTGGGTAAGAACCTACACTCCACTTTTTTTTTTTTTTTTACATTTAAAGGGTGGATGAAAGAGTAATTTGTAATAACAGTTTACTTCACAGGGTGATGGCAGTTGACTGACACTAGTCCTACAATACAATTAATTTACATGTTAAGCAAGCTACTGGTTAAATAGACCCTAATAACCACCAACAATGGGTCCACCATAGCAACTACTATAAGAATGGCATAGGACTGGGCACTATTTGAATGTACATAGTGCCGTTATGAATCAGAACTACTCAATGGCACCTAACAACAACAACCACCATGAAAGGAGCCCTGGTGGGACACAAGTTAAGTGCTGGGCTGCTAACCAAAAAGCTGGCAGTTTGAACCCACAAGTTACTCCATGGGAGAAAGATGTGGCAGTCTGCTTCCTAAGATTATAGTCTTGGAAATCCTATGACGCAGTTCCACTCTCTTCTAAAGGGTCACTATGAGTTGGAACCAACTCAATGACCACAAGTTTTAATAGTCATGAGTCAGGGGTGATTCAATGGCAGCTTACAATTGTAACAAAAATAGTCATTCAGCCTCTCTCTCTCTTATTTTGTTCCTTTTTTTTGAAATAATACTACTAATATGGAGGCAAGGAAGGAAAACATTATACACATCCATACATACACATAGACAGTATGTGGTTCCTTTTCTGATTAAGGATGTTGATTCCCATCACCAACTTGCATGACTTACCAAAACGAGTATTATTAACAATACTTCTCCCATAAAATGGAAAAGATACCATATCTTTCTTTATACCATACAATTGCTCTGTACAGGAACTGGTAATACATGGATAAGAGTTTCAGTCTTACTAAACTTTGACTAAAGTTAAAGGAACAAAACTCAACTAGAAACTTACTATGGTCAGCTTCTCATCAGGAAACCCAACTGTTGCAAAGTCAACTAAAGACTTGTAATCTCACAATCAAGAACAACTGAAAGAGGCACTGCTTTGTAAGTTTTCAGACATATTAAAGGCTCAGAAGAATAGCTTATGGGTGTGACCTGAACAGATTCTTACTGATTCTTCTAGACTAAAAGGTATCCCATACAAAGCTACCCTGAAATGGATGCCAATTAGATGAAGAAGCAGAGAAAGGAGAGTGCAGAAAGAGAGGAGAATTTAATCTAAACTACTTTTATTGGCTACCCACCAATGAACCGAAAAAAAAAGAAAGAAACATGATGTAAATTTTAATCCTAAAAATTTACAGTTTAGGCAGACTTATCATAGATAACAGTATTTTAAGAAGTAAGGTATTTCTCATTTTCAATTTCTTCTCTTCAGTACACACTATTTATTGACTTCTAAATCAAGACTAGGTAGTGTGGATGTAAAAGTATAAGTTACAAAGTGCTAGGTTTGACCATGGTTGCGCTACACACTGGCTGAACAACTTTGTGTGAGTCAGAAAATTCCTTCTAGCCTCAATCCTCCTGTCTGAATAATGGGAATAATACTAGCAACAGGGACTATGGGGATACTACTATTGGATTCAGGAATGAATGAATTGGCATAGTTGAAACTTAAAACCAGACTTTGAACAGTTTATATTAGACTCTTCGTAAATGTTGTCATATTTATAAAATCTGCTACATTTTTCCCTTAAAGGAGATGTAAGTTTTCAGTGTATCCAATATATAACAATGAAAATACAATTACACACAGGCAGACTGTGATTCTGAATTATTCTTCAGGCTAAATGCTGTCTTGTTATTTGGTCCTCCCTGCCTTCTAAACAAGCAGGCAAGTCTGAATAATCTACAAAGAATGTGGGTGATTTGGTTGAAATCCTCTTAAAACAGGCATATTTTATGCTACTCGTTAAATGGAAGATAATTTGCTAACTTCCCTCAACAGGAATTAAGTCAGATAAAATTATAGTCAGACATGATATATCAAGTAGGAAGTTTCTCATCTACTTGGTGACAAATATTTCCTCCTCAGGGGCTCCAGATTTGGTTTAGATATTACTAATAAAGAATCTGCAGTATCTCTGCATTCATAAGTGTTGCCAGTTATGAACTAATACAGTATTGTAAACACTGCACCAGAGTGTTGTAGAAAAACCTCTGGCTTAAAAGTCAAGAGCCTTGGGTTCTGGTCCCCTCCTTGACCCCAAAAATCCTATAACCTTGGAGAAGTCACTTTACTTCTACGAATTTGGTGGCTACTCAGAATATCCTTCCAGACTAAACATTCCATGGTCCTGAGTTTAAGGTACAGTTAGCAAAGAAAACAGCTGGTCAGCATGATCAGAGCTGCCAATTCTACCACAAATCCACCAGACCCAATGGCTGCTAAATCCAAGGCTTTTTTTCTGACAAAACCCATTGCCAGCTAGTCAATTCTGCCTCACAGAAATGCTATATGACAGCATAGAACTGCCTTCTAGGGTTTTCAAAGCTGTAATGTTCATGAAAACAAACTGTCATAGCTTTCTCAGTGGGTTCAAACCTCTGAGCTTTCACTAAGCAGCCCAGTGTTTAGCCATCATGCCATCAAGACTCCTTTTTTTTTTTTTCCCCCCTGACAAAGGAGCAGTATATGAGTGTATTCTTACTGAGACAAAGATTTAGGAACAACTTGCAGCAATATTTGGAAAAAGTACTGGGCCACTCTTTTATGGTTAAAAAAAGAAGAAGAAAAGAGTTGGTAATCACTTGAAAAAAAATTGGGTGTCTGCTGTGACCAGGTGTTCCTCAAATGACAACTTGAGCCTTCCAACAGTTCAAAGTTAAAGTTAGTTACAGAAGTAGCAGAAGTTAAAGTTAGGACTAGGGTTCGGCTAACTGTCACTTCCTTCTGGATGGTGAAGCCTGTTGTGGATCCCTTGGAGCTCAACTGCTAACTGAAAGGCTGGAGATTTGAGGCCACTCAGAGGGACCTTAGAAGAAAGGCCTGACACTCTACTTCTAAAAAACTTTAGCCCCTGAAAAATCTTATGTGGCACAGTTCAGCTATGGCACACATAGGTTACCAGGAGTTGGAACTGAATTGACAGCAACTGGTTGGTTGGTTGATTAGATGATGGTTAGAATAGTCTTTATTGAGAACTATTTGGAATATACAACCTTACCTTTCCAACTTCAGTCAATTTGGGATAAAATATATAAGGAAATCTAGTATCATCTCACTAGTGCTAATGTTTTTGCTACCCAATGTTTAAGAAGTTAGAGGGAAAACCAACTCACTAACCCTACTACTCTCTACCCAGGCCTCCACCCTTCTCTCCTTCCATAGACAGTGATGCAATGTATAGTATCCTGAAAATGTTTCCTCAGAACCAGTCTTTCAGCAAACATGGCCTTTGTCTCAACCTCATGCTACTGGCTAGGCTAGGTCAATTCCAAATTAGTTTTAGTCAAGTTTAGGAAATCAAAACACTTCCTATGGTATGTGTTGATTTAGAGGTGATGTCATAGAGATTCACTATATTTTATTTCCTGCAAGGTGCTAAGGGGACTCTAGTAAGCTATGTAGCAGAAACACTTGTTCTTACCTCCAATTCATTACTTTCCATCAACTATTTTGCTATAGGGCATATATATATATATATATATATATATATATATATATATATATATATATATATATGCTAATTCCTAACACTTTTTCATTGAGAACTTTAAGGATGAAAACATCTAGTTGAACTGATCCTGACCCAATGGAATTGCTTTTCCTCTATACTCAGCCAGATGGCTGAGGTACACTTGACTGGCTATGACTTAGGAGAACACGTTGGCTGTATCAGCTAGCAGAGCCCAAAAACACCTCAGAGCAGCTTTTCTGAAACACAGAAACCTTGGACTGTATATCAAAGCACAAGCCTGAGGGAAAGGAAGATGGAAAATGAACATTCCCCACAGGAGATAGTTACCAATGAACTCAAAAGCCTCTTCAAAGTATTGCCGCAGGTTCTGCTTGTTGCTGTCTGTGGCAGGCAGCCGCTTATAGTTGAATAGGCCTTTCTCGTAGTGGTAGAGGGGAAGGTGAGTGGTGACATTGATGACGTAGCCGATGTTCAGCCGTTGCATTGTATCCAGGTCCTGAGCATTCTGCTCATTGCCAAGAAACAGGAAGGGCAAGATGGGGGTGAGCTCTGCGTTCTCGATGTCAGGGGTGGTGGGGATGGACTGAGGTAGTAGGCCCAAGGCCGCAGATGCGCCACCCCCAACCTCTGGGCACTCTTGGAGCTGGAGGGAGTTGTCACAGAGGTTTTCATGGTTCTGCTTAAAACTACTAAGTCCACCTGGAACAAAGATACAGAGAGAGAAATGATTACCCCCTAAAACTTCAGAGCTGGCAGAAAATGCTACCTTCCCCATAACAATGACTATAAATGGTTGTTTATGTTTTTTTTGTTTTGTTTTGTTTCCCATAATAAAAACAAAAAGGAAAATCCATTTGGAGACCCAGGACAAGCTTTGGAGGTGATTACTACATTCAGTGCTTTGTTGGGAAATCCACTCTTTATACAAACTGGGGCATGCTCCTCTTGAAAGAGTTCCATGAGCATCAGGCAATTTCATCATCAGCAAATTTTATCAGCCTCAAAGAGCCATATGCTCAGTGGCCTATATAGTGCCCTGCACTTCGGGAGCTGAGGAAAGCATAAATGATCTCCCTTATGGAGGATACTTCTGTGGAGAATCCCTGTGGGTATCCAGCATTATGGGCATGTATTGCACCCTTCAAAAGCTCACTTCACCCAGAAAACCAATTTGTTCATAATACACCAGAGTGGTTAAGAGCAGAGACCCTGAAGAAGCCAAATTACATTGGCTGTGACCTTAGCTCCCCGACTTCTTGGCTCTGTGACTTGGCAAGTTAATTGCTCTCTTTACCTCAGTTTCCCCATCTTTAAAATTAGAGTAATAGCATTTACTTATCATGATTATGAGTCTGGAATGTATGAATACACATAAAGGACTTAGCTCATTGTCTGGCACCTAGTATGTGCTCAGTTAGTATGAGCTATTTTTATTAATATTATCTATATTATGGCCCCCATGTAGAGGTAACAGAGAAATGCTTGGAAAAGAAAAGGCAGGACAGAGGCTTTCTTTATGATCTCTTTTTTGACATTCTCCAGGTCATTTGTCAACCTTGACTTCCAGTGTTGAATAAAGTCTTAGAGGATCCCAGTCTCTAGTACCTGACTTTCTGAGGTCGATGCATACATAAACCCATTACAAAATCTCTAGTAGATACAGTGAACACATGGCTTTGAGCTCAAGGCTCAGTCTGCCTCGCAAGAGCTATGGGTCTAGTGTAAAAGCTTAAACTGAGCATTTTTTCCCATTTTAAATAGGCAAACCTCTTCCAACAAGTGCTATCTCACTTATAGGGCTGTTATCTGAAGGAAATAATCAAACCAATGATAGTTGGCTAGATTTGTAAAAAGAACTGTCGTGTGTGTGTGTGTGTGTGTGTGTGTGTGTGGCATTATCTGTTTTATGGAAAAGGTCAAACATATGACAAGAGGAAAACACAAAGTAAAAGTTATTACACCCATTCAATGGAATATTATGTAGCCATTGAAAGAGTAGATTGTGAAAATTACATGAAAACAAAGAAAATGTTCACTTAATATTAAATGAGAAAAGCATCATTACATACAGGTAACCAAAGGTTGAAGGGCTATGTAAAAAATGAAAACATAGAAATTTATAGATCATAGCTTCTTGTTTAAATTTTTCATTTAATATTTGTTATACACACTAACACAGAGATAATTCTAAGGCTACTAGGAAGCTCAAAATAAACACTATACATGTGAGGATGAAGAAATTTGGGTTGACATTATCACCACTATGTGAATCTAATTCTGACCTTATAAAATTAGGTAAAGCCAGGTCTTCCCTTTAAAAAAAGGACAGAATTGGAAAACAACTATAATCTGAAAGCCACCAGAATATTCATACCCAAAGAAAGTCAGATGTTTCAAGTCTGTCTTATAGTTCTAAAAGATAAGGCAGGAACCACAAAGTGTGAACAGGATACAGTTATGTTGAAATGAGAACAGGAAGTCTATCTGTCCACTAGTTTCTGAATCTAATGTATGTTCTTCTCCATTTCAAGTCTCATCTTTGGTAGCCACAGCAGGAAGCTCCAGACTGTAACCTAGACTGAGCCTCATGACTGTTCACAACCCATGGACACTGGGTCCTTTTCATTAAGGCATAACGATGAGCTAAAGGAAATTCAAAGGTGTAACATTAAGATCATCTTATGCATCTGTAAGAGTCAAAATCTTTGCTCTTGAAAAGAAAAACATTCATTTTAATTGATTTCCAAGATTAAACTCTGCCCCTTTCTAATATTAGTTTATTCTTTGATGAAACCACAATAGAAAAATGTTGCTGAGTTCAAAGAGATAAGTTTTAAAGTTGTAAGAAAAAAAATGGAAATCAGAAAAACTTCACTGGAGATTAACTGAAAAATTCATTCCTTCATTCATTCATTTATTACCCACTGTCACCATTACAGATCCATAAAAGGTACTCTGGGATTCTAAGAGTTTTTTTTTTGTTTGTTTTGTTTTTGTTTTTTAAATCTTCTCAGCTTTGCTTCCATGAAATACAGGCAAACCGTTCTACAGAGATACAAAGATTCTGTGACGGAAACCCCTAAGTCACTTTTTTTCCTTAAGAAAAATGTAGTTGCCACACTTTTCCATATAAAAGAGAACAAAAGAAACTTAAAAAGTATCTAAAGGGAAAAAAAACAAAGTCTCTCTGTTCTTGTTTAGGGTACTGAAGCTGTAGTTTGTCTTAAAAGCAGCTAGTAAAAAATAAAATAAAATAAAAAAGCAAGCCAGAAAACGCCACACACAGGAAAAAAAAAAAAAAATTGCATTCAGCTTTTTAAAATTCTGTCTCTTCACCTCCTTTCCCAATGACATCAGCTGGAGGCTCCCCACCTGCCCAGTTGCCATAGCAGTTACACAAAGACATACAATGACATCAGTTGGCATGATATCAGCTCTTTGAGTGCAAACAATACAAGAAGAACTACTTTGTTTAAGGCCTTTGGTGCAACTGTGTTCTGGGGAGCCAATGATGTAATGCTAACAGGTGGCATGGGCCTGCCATTTGCCTAATGGGGGGAAAAAACCCACAGGGGTGGGGGTGAGGGAATTTGAGACAGACACACACAGAATGCTCAGAATCACATGCAAAATTATGTGTACAGTGTATGTGTAAGTCATGTGGGGACTCAACATACAATATTTGGAGAGAGAGTAGATAGGAAAGGAAATACTGTAATACCAGGATATTTAGCCAGACAAGAAAATTCTCATTGAGGAATCTGAGGAAATAGTCCCTTGTTCAATTGCCAGTTTACTGATCAACTTAGCTATCAGTTCTCATTAAGGGTTAGGCACACCTATACATAGTGGTAAAAATCAACAACAATAAAACTCTATGGATGATGGTACTTAAAGCAAAACAAACCAACAGAAGCTCATGGTGGTGATTTTTTTAGAAAGAAGTGTGTAGGGAGGATCACTTTCTTTTCATGGAGAGTTGGAAAATGGAATTGGAGCTGGGTTGGGGGAGAGCAAGGCTAAAATTGTTTTCCTTTCGAACTAATTCCCTCTTCCCCCACTCCACCTGCATCACATAATCAACAGAGGCTGAGCTAAGCAATGACTTACTCAAGTACTTTAGTTTATGTTTGTTATTACTATATAAAGAGTATTTGAACATAATAACTAACAAATAATTAAAGTAGGTAGAGTATCATAGTAGCTAAGAGCTGGCTGCCATTGTGACTCTGCCTCATATAAGCTGTGAAATCTGGTGAAAATCACTTTCCCTCATTAAAGCCTCGGTTTAGTTTATCTGTTTATAAAATGGACATAATATTATCTACCCATAGGATTGTGATACCAATAAAGAAATAAAAAAAACAAGAAAGCTTCTGTAAATGCCTTAGTATATAGCCAGATGTTTTGCTGATAACTTGTTTTTACCCCAATATCATCATTGTTGTCCTCACCTCCAGCTGATCCATGTCTAATCCATGAGAGTCTTAAGTGCAGTGCAGTGATTCAGAGCAAGGGCTCAGAGGCCAGATGTCTTGAGTTTGAATTACTCGCCATGAGACCTTGGGAAAAATTCTTACCTTCTCTATTACTCAATTTCCCCACATAACAAATGAAGATAATAATAGCACCTACCTCAGAGTGGTGTTATGAAGATTATACTGGTTAATAAAAGTACTTTGAAATAATGATTCACACAAAGTCAGCACTACATAAATGTTAGCTTTTATTATTATTATTATTACTTTAGGAGGTTACTGTTTTAAACTATACCCACCTACCCCGCAAAAAAAAAAAAAAAATTGCTTAAATATAAAGACCCCAAGAAGGAAGGATGGGCAATCTACTTCTGTAGTGATACTGCCTCGGGAACCCAAAGAGGGGTTGCTATGAGTCGGGGTTGACTCAGCGGCACATAACAACAACAACAACAACAAGTGATAACTAAGGATCCAGAGTTTGTACTCTTAAAATGTTACAGGGGTGGGGAGGCAGGGAGAATTAGGAATCAAGATACCTGAGCAGATTTAAAGTTTAAGTAACACATTTTGATCTTAAAGAAAGCAATGAGACTCTATCTTCCTTAAACAAATGATCTTATTTCATTTTGCTTGGCCTTGCTTTCCCAGTGAAGATTGTATGTTTTTGGATTCCTAATTTTTCCAGAGGAGGATTGAATTTTTTGCATAAAATGGCTCTTCTCCCCTCCACCACCTCTACCTCAGTCCCCACCCAGTGAGGTGACTTCCTTATGCACACAAGGGCTTGCAGTCATCAGTGCAAATATTTTCTAGGCAGGAACAACCATGCTAGGGGCAAATATTTTCAAACCTTATCGCAAAACTAGGTTTAGCTCTGCCAAAATGAGTATGGTCAGCATGCTGATCCTGAATGAAAACAGCAGAGAATGCCAGCACCCTAAAGAAAATGACATAGAATACCACCCACCAGTTCTTCCAACAGGAGGTCATTTAAGTGGCAATCCAATTGAAGCAACAGATTCTAGTTTGAGTGGGAAACATCTCTTTGTAGATGCATTTCAGCTTCTGTCACTGTTTTGGCTATTGCACTCCTGGAAACAGAAGAGCCCTCTGTACTGTGATTCAGAGGCTATGCTCTGTGTCACAAGTTAAAGGAACCACATCCAAATACAGAGCCTGTAAGCAAAAGATGTCCACAGTGTAAAGATGGCAAGCCTG